GTTCAGACAGCAGAAATATTGTGCAGGAGGCTGGGCAGCCACATCTGTGGCTTTTTCCTGGAATGCAGCATACGTGAAGTCCCCCTGTAAACAACAGCTGTTAGACTCTGATTATGAATTTGGGCCCAATTAACTATGAGGAGCCTTTTTTGACAGGTATATTCCTTCTCGGGATCATCACCTCCATTATCCTGCAGGGTGGTAGCAGAGGCCCTGCTTTCTGAAAAGCAGAGTAGTGCATTTCCACTGGACACAGTCATGGAAATAGGCCAAAGAAGTTTCTGTAACCCTGGAAACAAAGCCAGACATATCATTTCAGACTAAAGGACAGATTCTAAATAGCCCAAATGCTATCGGCACCATTGTTAATGCCACACACGTAGTCTTCACACTACACAGGCTACTCGTGGGAGGTGTGGCGGGAAGGTCCATATGAAACAATCAGTACCCCTGGTCTAAAATTAAAGAAATAAGTGTGGGGGAATATTTTATGCAAATTATTTCTCTTCTGAAGCTTAGAAAGGTATTTCGTTGCTGGTCAGAAAGGCTCTTTACAACTAATGTCAGCTAAAAGACTGAAAGAAAACAACCTCATAGGGAAAATCATTTTACTGTGCCTCAAGAGTTCTGTGGAAGTTCATGACCATTTACATGAAAGTGTGCTCAAATAGATTACATGAACATTTGAAGGTTCATATTTAAAAAGAAAATACGCATATAGTCCATTCCCCTATTGGAAACCCTACTAAGATGCAAACTTACAATTTTGGTTTCTTTGAAAGGACCTTGAGAGGCATTTGGCCCAAGCTGCCACCCAATACAGGAATCCCTTCTAAAGCATATTTAATAAACTGTCTTGCTGCCTCTGCTTAGAGAGAGAATTTGCTATTCTCTAAAACTCCCCATTGCACAGTTAGGATGTTTTGCTTATCACTAGCAAAACCTGACTCCATCTAACTCCTGGACACTGTGCTACACCCTTCTTGTAGAACCAGAGAATAAGAATGATCTCTCTTCCTGGCTCAAGTTCTTACCAGCTGTGTGTTCAGCTGTATCCGTTGAAACAGAGATAACAGCACCTACCTCCTAGGGTGGAAACCAGGACAGAATATTAGCACAATGCCTGGTTATGGTTAGCACCCCATAATTATTAGCTATTATTATAATTAGCAATTGTACACAACAACCCTTCCAATAACTCTGGAATGGTGATCCCATTATTAGGTTTGCAAGGAATAGAGACATTTTCAGATTACCTTAGTTATTGTCAGCCTTTCTGTGCAATGCTAGATTTTGGGGCTACACACTTGAGGGTTTAAATGACATCCAGTTATCCTGGGATTCACCTGGTCCCCTTCTGCATCACCACCCCAATAGACCCTCAGAAGGCCAAGTTCTCAAATGTTCTCATTTCTTTGGCACCAGCTTGCCATCAGATTCCACCTTTGACCCCTAACCTCTGACCCGCAGCAGGCTGGACTGACTGTGCCCCACTTCACATGGAGCTCAGTTTCACAATCTCACTTTCTGGAACTGCATAACAGAGACGCTAAAAAAAAAAAAATTACATGTTGCCAAATTTGCCAGCACGCTTGGAAAGAGTTTGAGGCAATGCAGTAAAACCACCACACATCAATTAAGAAGCACTGTCTTAAATAATGAGGTTTATTTGGGGGGACACCCTGGGAAATAGAGGAGTCCAGAATCTCCACCTCAAAGCCAGACCTCATGGAGACTAGTGCTCAGTCCAGAGGCTGGAAGGTTGCTTTGGATACTGTGTGACTCTACCAACTGGGTTATAACAGTAAATAAAATTGCCATCTGTTGAGCTCTTAATATGGGCTAGGCACTATGCCAAGCATTTTACAAGTGTTAGCTATTTTTTTTAACTTGTTTAAATTGTGGAATAAAATACTCTTAGATTAAAGTGTTCAAAACAAATGTACAGTATAACCAATGATCACAAAGCAAACACTTGTATAACTACCTCCTTGATCAAGAAATAGAATACTTCCGAGCATTGTCGAATCCCCCTGCCCCTGGTATCCCCTTCTGGTCTTAGAACCTTGCCCCCCAGAAGCAACCACTATTTTTTTTGTAATAGTTACTTCCTTACTTTTCTTTATAGTTTGCTTAACAATATATGTTATACAATATAAACTCCATTATATAGTTTATAGTTTAGTGTTGCCTATTTTTGAATTTTAAAATAAAATT